AAAGAAAAAAAAAAAAAAAAAAAAGGAAACCTGAGGATTTTTCTGGGAGCCTGGGTTTTACTGAAGAAAATTACCGTGGCATATGGCATGTGCATCTCCTACTTGTTAACATTCGTTATAGGTCCCATAGAGTACAAAATTTTGCAGTATATAGGAGGCATTATATACTTACTACTACAATTGTGGTAGGTTGCTATTTTTTAAAATAACAAAAAATGATTGTTTCCTTTTATAGCTATGTCTGGTGAGAACAGAGAAAATACACTGTTTTATTCTGAAATTCCCAAAACCATCAACAGAGCAGCAGTCTTAATGCTCTCTTGGAAGCCTCTTTTGGATCTTTTTCAGGTAGGTTAAACATTGTTATTCCTGTGATTTTGTGTATGTTTTTAGATACTGCATTTGTTTAGGGACAGAAATTCAATTGGGGTTTTATATTTGAAGTAGAAATGAATCAAAAGGAATTAAAACATTTTTACGTTTTTGCATTTATGACCATGAAATTTCATTAAATTCTCAATATCTGAAACTAGGGATAGTAGCTATTACAATTCAGAATTTTTGTTTGTTTGTTTTGTTTTTTTTTTGGCCGCCCAGTACGGCGCGGCATGTGGGATCATAGTTCCCCGACCAGGAATCAACCTGTGTCCCCTGCAGTGGAAGGGTGGAGTCTTAACCAATGGTCCCTGGACCGCCAGGGAAGTTCCCAGATTTTTTTTTGGCTACCTTTCTCCCTGTTTAACTATCTTTCCCTTCTAAAAACTTGCTAGTTATGTAATTCTCACATTTTGGTGGAAGAGTTATTCACATAAAAGAAGTAATGTATATTTCTAGAAAGCTTTTTATTCAAATCTTTAAATTGAATTTTTAGTTCTAATATTTAGTAACAGTACTAATGTAAGGGTTAAATAAAGGTACTAAGTTCAGTTTTTTTTTTTCTAAATAGCATAATTCAATTTATGTAAAATCAAAGGTTAGGTTTGTTTTTTTTTTTCAATATTTTGTCTTTAGACAATACGTAAATGGTTCAAAACATCCCAAGAACATGATAGTTTGGGTGTGATTGTTTGCCTTTTTAGTTCTCATTTATTATTTTTACATTGAGTATTGAATAGAATATTTGGACTAGGAACTAAAATGTGATATTTCTCTTAGGAAGTAAAAAAAAAAAAAAACTTCCATGACAACTAATCATTTTGACTGCAACTATTTATCAGGGATGTTGTTTCTTACATTGGTTTGTGACTTTCCTTTAAAACAAAAAAATTCCTTATTCTAAGAACAGTGTGTTGAACTGAAATAATGGTAGTTTTCTCAGGAAAAGGTTGCAAATTAGTGAGTCAGAGTTGTTGTTTTTTTAAGCTTTATTATGGAAAATTTCAAACCATACAAAAGTAGAATCCTATGCAAACTAGTTTTAACAATTTTCAAATCTTTGCCATCAGTGTTTCACTGTAGCTTTACCAGTCCTCCCTCACAATCCCTATCCCCACTTCTCAGATTATTATTATTATTTTTTAGAGAGTTGGCATTCTTATTTATTTATTTATTTGGTTGCGCCAGGTCTTAGTTGCAGCTCGCCAGCTCCTTAATTGCAGCACATGGACTCCTTAGTTACAGCAGGTGGGCTCCTTAGTTGTGGCTCCAGGACTCCTTAATTGCGGCTTGCCGGCTCCTTAGTTGTGGCATGCGAACTCTTAGTTGCGGCATGCATGTGGGATCTAGTTCCCTGACCAGGGATTGAACCCAGGCCCCCTGCACTAGGAGTGCAGAGTCTTATCCACTGCACCACCGGGGAAGTCCCACATCTCGGATTATTTTTAAAGAGTTCCCAAATAGGTCATTTCACTCCTAAGTAAGTCAGTATGTATCTCTAAAGAATATAGATTCTTTTTAGATATCATCACATCTTAAAAAATCATTGATCATTTCTTCATATAAAATATTCAAATTTCCCTGATTTTTAAATTTCTCTGTTTTTACACTTGATTTGTTAAATCAGAATCTAAGTAAGGTTCATATATTACAATTGATTGATAGGTTTCTTAAGTTTCTCTTACTTTTAATCTATTGCTTTCCTTTCCATCCTTTTTTTCCCCACTGCTGTTTATCTACTGAAGAAAGAGGGTCTGTTTTGCTGATTGTATTCCTGTGGTGTTATTTGATATGTTCTTCAGTCTCCTGTATTCTCTGTAAATATAAATAGGTAGTCAGATCTCGAAGCTTCATCAGACCCAGGTTTCCTCTTTTTTTCCCCCCCAATAATACTTTACAGATCAAAAGAATTGAAAGCAGGGTCTTGAACAAATAATTCTATACCCATATCCATAGCAGCATTATTCACAATAGGCAAAAGGCGGAAGTAACCCAAGTGTCCATGGACAGATGAATAAATAAACAAAATGTGTCATATGTTGGGTTGGCCAAAAAGTTCGTTCAGGTTTTTCCAGAACATCTTTTTTTTAATTAATTAATTTATTTATTATTAATTTATTTTTAGCTGTGTTGGGTCTTCATTGCTGCATGCAGGCTTTCTCTAGTTGCAGTGAGTGGGGGCTACTCTTCGTTGCAGTGCGTGGGCTTCTCATTGCGGTGGCTTCTCTTGTTGCAGAGCATGGGCTCTAGGCGTGTGGGCTTCAGGAGTTGTGGCACATGGGCTCAGTAGTTGTGGCTTGTGGGCTCTAGAGCACAGGCTTGGTATTTGTGGCTCATGGGCTTAGTTGCTCCGCGGCATGTGGGATCTTCCCGGACCAGGGCTCAAACCCATGTCCCCTGCAGTGGCAGACGGATGCTTAACCACTGTGCCACCAGGGAATTCCCTCCATAACATCTTATGGAAAAATCTGAACTAACTTTTTGGCCAACCCAATACATGTGGTGGAATATTATACGGCCTTAAAAAAGAAGGAAATTGTGACACGTGCTGCAACATTGATGAACTATGAAGATATCATGATAAGTAAAATAAGCCAGTCACAAAAGGACAAATACTGTCTGATTCCACTTACATGGGGTGCCTAAAGTAGTCAAATAGACTACTAGAATGGTAGTTGCCAGAGGCTAGGGGAAGGAAAAATGAGGAGTTGCTGTTTAATGAGTTTAATGGGTATAGAGTTTCAGTTTTGCAAAATGGCAGAGTTCTGGAGATGGGTTGCACAGCAATGTGAGTATAGTTAACAGTAGTTGGGCTTCCCTGGTGGCGCAGTGCTTGAGAGTCCGCCTGCCGATGCAGGAGACGCGGGTTCGTGCCCCGTTTCGGGAAGATCCCACATGCCGCGGAGCGGCTGGGCCCGTGAGCCATGGCCACTGAGCCTGCGCGTCCGGAGCCTGTGCTCCGCAAATGGGAGAGGCCACGACAGTGAGAGGCCCGCATAACGCAAGAAAAAAAAAAAAAAAAAGAAAAAACAGTAGTGAATGGTACACTTAAAAATTGTTAAGATAGTAAGTTTTATGTTACATATTTTACCACAATTAACAAAATAATATTTCATAGACAATGTTGTATGCCTCCATCAAAAGTCGTATAGAGCCTTATTTATCTTCTTGTGATATGATAGCACCCTTTGATCATTACCTAGATCCATTATAAAACAGTGAAATTTTATCATTCCTTCTTCATTTATTAACTGAAAAACTTCTATAAAGAGAAAACTGCTATTCAACAACTATTCACTTATTCTGAGTTCTAGTTCACAATAGAAAGGTAGGATGTTTCTTGTCCTTTATTTCCCATTTTTCAAATAATCTATGTTCTACTGTCTTATATACGTGATCAGTTAGGGGTTTTGGAGGGTATTTTGTTTTTGTATCTTTATAAACTTACAGTGTAAGCCTGTTTGGTATCTTTTGATCCATTGGCAGTTATTATTCTTATTGTACAAATGTCTTATTTTTGGCTGTTGGAATCCCTTTCATCTTGACATGTCAAATCCTTTTGACGTGACCCTGGTAATGGTTGATAGTGCTCTTGCTTTCTGCTGTGAAGATGTGTCATGATCATCTTTCACATTGCTTATCCCATGCTTAGAATCAGCCATTTCTCTCTAGTTCCTTTAGGGGAAAGTGATGATAAGAGACCATGATCTGGGTACTAGAGATGCTTATTATTATTGGGTTGTTAATTGTTTCTAGGTCTTTTCATTGGGCAAACTAGGGAATACATACATTGTGTGTGTGTGTGTGTGTTTGAAATGTACAGATCACCATGAAGTCATATCAATTCAGGTAAGATATAAGGTCAGACTGATATATCCAGTTAAGATATTACACTACAGGATTTTTCTTTAACCTCATTTATCCTACATATGAATTTTCTTTCTCTGGTGCCAAAGGTCCTGTTTTAAACAATAGTATGATTACTCATTTGCTTTACTCTATACTACACACAAAACAGTTTTAAAATAACAAATGAATCAGTGCTGATTACTTAACAGTAACTTGGAATTGGTCTTCTCTGTGTGGTCATGCTATCAGTTCTATACAATTAGATTCATTTGCTTCATTTTGTTTTCAAGTGTTAGGAATTCCTTTGTTTTTAATTTAATTTTTGTAGAAAATAGTTATATGGTTCCAAAGTCAGATCTACAAAACCAGAAGTATTCAGAGAAGCTCCCCATCTCCTCTACCCTATTTCTCCCCTTCTCCTTCTAGATAATCTTTGTGTTTTTAAATGGCTTATCCTTCTTTTTTAAAAAATATAAGCAACTACATAGATATTCCTATCCCCCATTAGATAAATAGTAACAAACAGTATACATTTTCTCCACCTTGCAATTTTCAATTAACAATGTATCCTTCAAATCAGTCCATAAGAATATATAGTGAGTCCTCCATAGCCACAGGTTCAGCATCCTTGGATGCAGAACTAAGCTGCATCTTTGGATGCAGCTGTACTAAGCCATTTTATAGTCTGAGGGACTTGAGCATCCACAGATTTTGGTATCCATGGGGGTGGGGGGTGTCCTAGAACCAATCCCCCACAGATTCTGAGGGACAACTGTATACATAATCTTTATTTCTTTTTACATTTGTGTTGTACAGACAAATCATGTTCAACCAGTTCCCTCTTCATGGACATTTTATTTTCAATCTTTGTATTACAGATAGTAGTGCAGTAAAATGGCTTGGGCTTTTTACATTTTTGCCCGTGTATCTTTAAGCTAGATTCTTAGAACTGAAGTCACTGGACCAAAATGTATATGGTTTTGTAATTTTGCTAGATATTATCAAATTTTCTTCCATAGGAGCTGTGCCATTTTGAATTTCCATCAGTAAGGTATAAGTGTGCTTGTTTTCCCAGAGGCTCTCCAACACAGTATGTGGTCAGACATTTGGATTTTTTGCCAATC